TATCTATCTATCTATCTATCTATCTATCTATCTATCTATCTATCTATCTATCTATCTATCTATCTATCTATCTATCTATCTATCTATCTATCTATCTATCTATCTATCTATCTATCTATCTATCTATCTATCTATCTATCTATCTATCTATCTATCTATCTATCTATCTATCTATCTATCTATCTATCTATCTATCTATCTGTCTATCTATTTATCCATTAACCCATCCGTCGATCTCGCGTTTGATCGTTAGCTAGCTAGCGTTCATATTAGCATTTGGCTAACTCGCAAAAATGGCTTTTAATGGGACAAAGTAAGCATCTTTAGTTTAGGCTCATGTGCATAATTTACTCAACTACCTTCATGATTTGTTTTAGTTTGTATTAAATGGTTCAAATTATTTTTTTTTGTTGTTCGTTTAGCAATGCGCCTTATTGCGGCTTTGGTTGTTGTAAAACTACAACTCCCATAATTCCACAGGTGAAACGTGAAGCTTGGAGTCCCCGGATGGGGTTTGACAGCAGCCACAGTGCAGGCGGACTGGAGAGAAACACACAGCGGCTGGAGCTGCAGAGGCTTGCGGACTCCCGTTCGTATTTCCCACCCCCGACTCTTCCCTTCGCCCTGTCAACGTACCAGGAAAATGAACAGTGTCAACGCTGGACATTATTAATCGACCTGTTCCATCCGCCCTCCCCCGGGTTTTGACGGGAGCCGCTCGTGGTGATGAGCAGTTGCCCGTGACATGCCGCGGAGCCAACCCGGCAGCGGCGCCTCTAGCTGGACGAGGAGTGGAGCGTCGATGCGTCGCTGAGCACCATCATCCAGTTGGTGAGTAACCACGACATACAACCACATCACAACAAGTGGATATATCACGAGTGTTAGCGTATATATCGTGAATGTTAGTGTATTCATTGACGGATTTGGTGTATTTTGAGTCCCTCCTGACCATGTGGGCACACACACATACTTCTCAGTCCGATTAGGGTGAAGCTGACTTTTGGGACTTCTTACATGCATGCACCCCAGGGTAGTTTTTTTGACACACAAGCTTCTAGACACTCATAATCATTATCATACTCGTCATCATCATCATCATCATCATCATCATCATCATCATCAGGACCCCACACCCCCCCAGCTGTTGGAACACAACAGCAGCAGCAGCAGCACATCTTGCAGAGGCAACAGGGCCGCCTCTACTTCTGCCGCTGTGAGGAAAGGAGGGTGAGAGACGCTCATCGTTGGTGATTATCAGCTCTTGTCTGCGCTTTGGGGTGGAGGTGGGAGGGAGGTGTTTGTGGCTGAGAGGGAAGTCAATGTCAGTGTCTGGCTGGTGACAGTTTGTTATTTAAGGGCCCCTCAGAGACGTTCACTGGCTGTGCTGCGGCTTCCGTTAGTATGCAGACGGACTCTCAGTCTGCCTATGTGTGTGTGCGCGTGTGTGTGTGTGTGTGTGTGTGTGTGTGTGTGTGTGCGTCTCACAATGTCTCACAATAATCTCACCCTCATTCTCTCTCCCAATTGGCACATCCCACTTGTGCGTGATGAATAATTCTGAATGTCGGAACGAAAAGGAAATGGCCTCAGTTTTGGCACGCAGCTGTCGTCTTGTCAATCTTGAGTGAATGTCCTTGCGTGTGTGCGTGTTGGAGTGTGTGTCTGGTGTGTGTCGGAGGAGCCGCATTGTGCTCGCTACCTGTGTGAACGGGACTAGTTGTCATGGCAACGGCCTTGTAGCGCCGTCAACGTCGCTCCTGTCCTCATTGGCGGGGTCAGCGCACCTAACACGCGGCGTGTGTGCATGTGTGTGTGTGTGTCTGCGCGTGCGTGAGGTGCCAGTGTCTTTTGTTTGAGCCCTGCTGCAGTTTTCAGTAGTGTGGGTTGACGCCACCGCACACGCAAGTACATGTGCTGCACCTGCCGCCGCCGCTGCCGCCAATCACCTGTGTTCTTGGCCGATCAGCCCATCTTGCGTTTTTTTCAGAAGTTTAAAACCAAGTGGTGGGAAGAATTCCAGTGATTTTGTATACCAGCGTAGCCAAAGTGGAGTCGGCTTGCGAAATGCGGTATATCAATACACACGGGCATATATTATTTTTCCTTCTTCAAAAACGACTATTACCGCATCTTAGTTGCGACACTCTTCTTTGTTTCTTGAAACAACTTTTTCTGGTGGTCAGTTTTTTTTAGGTTGCCGATTGGCTAACCATGGGGAATTGTTTGGGGGGGAAAATAGATTCGCCAAGAAGATGCTATCTTAAAGGCACATCTTATGTATCTGTATCTCCATCCAGCAAATTGTTTGACGTTTAGTTACATTTGAGTTTTGTTCTACAAGGCTTGATTCAGTTCTCCGTACACTTGTATGAGAATAAGAAAGAGGAACCCAGATTTTTGGACATTCCAAGCAGCGTCACAGAATGATGTTTGTTCTACTTTGGAGGTTCCCTTTTGATTGGCCCAGAGATGTCACGTCGTCATGCTATCGACAAGTGAGATGTCAATTTTGTCTTAAGTTCTCACATCTGGTGGAAACACACGTAAACAAACTTGCTTTGGTAGTTAAAGTTCACCAACTTTGCTGTTAAACTGTACACATGAGCACTTTTGTTATATCTCATTTGACCGGT